GAAGTGGCTACTGTGGCCCTGTTTGAATGTGGCTCCCCTCGCGTCCCCTTTCACATTCGTAGCTGTGAGAGCGAAGGTTGTCCTGACAGGGGTAAGTTAGCATGCAAGGTGCATCAAAGGCTTGACACCAGGCTGAGCTGGAAAGAACCTCAAACTCTCCTCCCAATGGCTGTGTGTGTCCCTAAGCGTCAGTCACCCTGCCTGTGCAATGGGAATGTACCCACCGGAGCGGGTGGCTTGAGGATTAGACAGCACATGTGTGGTCCCTGCAAATAATCAGTACTTAAAATGGTAGTTGTTCTTGTGCGCACAAAACCAAAACCTAACTAATGTTTGGCCCTAAGAATGAGGGATGGAGGGAATAATTAATATAAAGGTCTGTTTATTTATTAATTGCCAAATTAAGAATATGAATTCATTGTTACTCTTGTTCGAATGGACAATATTGATCTATGGAACAAGGCTCTTCCCTCTTGGGCTTTGGAAACCTTTGGATGCACACAGTTGCTGTTTCACTAATTGTGGTGGAGGGGCGTTGTGTGTACATCGGTGTCTCGTATGACGCATATAATTAAGCCACTTTTGTGTTGGGAGCGGAAGAAAATTGGGCTTTCCCAAAGAAAAGCAGCTTGCTCCCAAAGTTGCTAACAGATTGCTTCTTAATTGAACTTGGGAGGTGAATTATATGGTGAATTAGAAAAAAAGAACAACTCTGAATTTAGTGAATTGTTCCATAAAGGAAACTGTGGGATTGAATTGCAAATGCTGGATGGAAACATTTCAGCCTGGCCCCCTTGCATCACGGGCCGCTGACCTCCGCCGTGCTTCAGTGAGAGGGTGACGGCCGCCGGGAGCTCTCTTTTCAAGGCCCGGAGGGCATTCTTTCCCAGAGCCCAGCTGTAAGCCTGGGTTTCTTATGCAAAGGAGTCGTTTGAATAAACCCCTGTGACTAATGAAATTTTGCATATCCTCTCACTGCAGAGGTAATTAACCAAAGATCAAATATAAGGATACACACACACACACACACACATAAAATATTTTTGTCTTGAAATCATACCCAAGTCAAAACATACCCCCACACCCTGAGTCCTGGCCCCACTGAAGCTTTGTCTGCCTCGGCTGTATTTCTTGTCTTTCTTGTTCTGTGTGCCTGTTACTGCAGTTGTAGCCACAGTCACACCTAACTTACTCATTTGCTAGCTTTTACTGAAACACAGCAGCTTCCTACCAATTTAGATGTGAGATATGACTTTCCTTAGTGTTTGGTGTCTGTCTCCAGCCCCACACCTTCCATTTCTGGAAGGGGAGAAGTTGGTTGGAAAAAAGTACTATGGGATGGGGCTTCCTCTCACCAGGTTCTCTGAACATTGAACCCCAGCCCTGGCTGCCTTTCAGGATCACCTGGGGAGCTTGAAAAAAATCCCAAGGCCCAGGCCCTGCCCCAGACCAGTTTAACAAGAGCCTCTGGGGGCGGGACCCAGGCATCAGTATTTTTCTAAAAGGCTGCCCAGGGAATCCAAGTGCAGCCAAGGTTGAGAACCACTGTTCGGAGAATATCTGCTTTCCTCCCTCCAAATCTGATAAAGACGAATTTTTCCATCAGTTAGGCTGAGTTAGAAATGATTGAATTCTCTTTTCAGACACTGTCTACCTGACTCACCCAGCTAGCCAGCCAGCCAGCCATCCTTCCTTCATGCTGTCCATCTGACTGTCCATTCATATGTCACATCTTTTTTTTGAGTGCCTGCTCTGGCTGGGCAGGCACATTGTTGGGCTGTTCATTCTGGGACAAGACCAAGTCCCTTTCTTCAAAATGCTGAAAACTAGAAACCAACCTAGTTGGGGTCAGCTGAGTAAACAGGAAATCGCAATACCTTGTGTGAGAGATGCCCATCCAGGGGACAACGGGAGCTCCTCTGACCCACAGCGGGGTAGCTGCCCAGAGGAAATGGTCTCCAGGCTGACACTTGAAGGACTCATAGACTTTGGCTAGGTGAAGAGGTGGGCGTGGCTGTGGCAGGTGCATAATAAGAGGGAAGCAGAAATCCAAGGTGCTGAGTGCAGAATGGGAGTGGGCAAATTGTCAGGAGGCCCCGGAGCACTAGGTGGAGGCGGCCAGAGGGGCCATGTCACAGGGGCCTCATCGGTTCTGTTGGGAGTTGGAACTCATCCCAAGGGTTTTCCTCAGGGGAGTGGCCAAACCACATTAACTCCAGGTAGATCCCAGGCTCAGCTGTCCTAGAAGCATGAGATTTGAGCTTCTGAGGAAGCCTTTCTAAGAAAAGGCAGAGCCTTCGGTCTCTTGCTGGAAAGGATGACTGAGGAGGGATCTGTGCTATTAAGTGCTCATGGCACCAACCTCATCACTGACTTCGGACGCCCTCCCACAGACCTGGAAAATGCCATGTGTCCCTGGGGCATAACCGGCCTCTCTCCAGCATACTTTGTCCCCCTTGTTCTTCCCGGGTCTGAGGCCAAGGGGAAGAAGTACAGGTTTGGGGGTCAGAGAGAAGCCACCTCCTGTCGTCACCACTCCTAACAATCTCTGTGCTCTCAAGACAGGTAAGTGACTTTACCTCTTGGAGCCTTGTTTCTTCCTATGTAAAATAGGGAGATTTACGGCTCTTTATCACTGGGCTTTTGTGAGATAGAATTAAAAAATTCAAGGCCAGGAAAACATTTAGCAGTGTCCTTAGTGTGTGGTCAGCACCATAATTGGCAGGTGGTGAACACTTACTAACAACCGACTTAGCTATTTAGTTGCCTATTTGTTTATCGTGTTCTCTTCTACCCTCCATCAGAATATAATTTCCATGAGGTCAGGGCAGAGTTTGTTCAGTGTCACATCCTGCGCAACAGAAAGAGCATCTGGCATGTAGCAGGTGCTGGGTGAATATTTGTCGAATGAGTGAGTTCCTAAACAAACCCATGACCTCATTTGGTCCTTGCAACAGCCCATTTGACAGATGAAACATACTAACGCCCAAGGTCTTATCCACAGTTACACAGCGGAGAAAAGTCTGAGCTAGTCTCAGAGCCTCGGCCTTGGGCTCTCCTTCCCTCCACACATGGCACATTCCTCGGCTGGCCAGCAATTTTCATACCATCAGGATTTCCCCTGACCTTTAGCCCAAGAGGAAATGATATTGCAACTGGAAGAATACCCAGAGGGCTGGGAGCTGGCAGCGATCGCCCCGGCAGCTGCAGGGAGTGTGTGAGTGGATTCCGAGTTCGCCAGAAAGGCATTGGAATGAGCAGGATGAAGGCATGCAAAAATGTCAGCATGCGCCTGGTCCCCCACCAGTGTCAGAGTTACGGGAGGGGAAGAGGTAGTCTGCCTGTCAGGAGCTGGGACGTGGGACCGAGGGGCTGTCTCTGGGGGTTGTCTGGGGTCAGACCTCGGGGTTCCATGTTTGGGCCCCTTCCTGTCTGTGGGGCATGGAAAATACTCTCAGGCTCTGACCGGGAGAGTGTCCTGAACCCTCAGCTTTCCTGATGGGCTGGGCAACCTTGGGATAATCATTTTGTGTGATTTTCTCAGTTTGCTCCTCTGTAAAATGGATGACACTGTCTGCCACTGAGTATTCTCCTCGGGGTCAAAGGGGATGTGGGGAACCTACTTTTTAAGCTGCAAATTTCTAAACAAAGGCAAGAAGTAATTTTGCTTTCACCAGTAGGTTGTTCCATAGTTGCTGTGGTGTGGATTCCCATGTATAATAGTCCCTTGGGGACACCGGCTTTGATCTCAAGTCTGCTTCCTGGTGTCACTACCCACCCAGAGGTTCAAAGCTCAAATGCCGGGGTCCTTGGTGGCCCTTCTCAGTCGCATCAGCCCCTCTTGTTGCTCTGCCTCTGACTCCATCTCCAGCGCGGCAGGCCTCCCACATCCCCATTGCACTGTCCAGCCTGCCCCACCGCTCCCTCTGCTCTGGACCTTCACCCGGGTTCTAACTGATCACCCGGCTTTCTCTTTTGCCTGCCAGAGAGATCTTGGTAAAACATGAAAACAAACCCCTCTGTCCCTCTCCTGCTTTAGACCCTGCCGGCCTCGGCCACCATGGTCAGTGCCTCCATGGGGCAAACCTCTTCCTGGTCCATTTTCTTCCCTGTCCTGCCTTCTGCTGGGTGGCACTGACCCTCGAGTTGCCTCCCTGGAAGGGCCTTTTCTGACCACCTTCTAAGCAGCTGCTCCAGCCACACTCTGCCACATGCTGAGTTTGCTCTTTGGAGCATTTGCTGAACCTGCGATGATCTTCTTTCTTTATTTTCTTACTTACTGTTTATTGTCCATGTATTGAGGTTATACACACTTGTCTGCCATGTTCATTGCTGAGTCCCTAGTGCTGGAACTGCACCTGACTCACAGTGGGTCTAATAATAATTTGTGATTGATCATGTTCCTGGATGGGCAGGAATTGGCTCATAGATCATGGCTCTGAGCAAGCCAATGCAAGCATCACTGTCCTGGAGGAAGGCGGTATCTACAGAGTCTGATTTACAGAGTAAACAGCAATTTCTAAAAGGAGACCCACCCCAAAGAGGACAGCAGACGCCTCGTTAAGCCACGGCAGCAGTAACTGACTGCAGAACGTGTTCAGAAGCAGCATGGTGGACGTCTCTGTGTGTTCTGGGTGTGTCCTGTTGGCATCTGGGCTTTCTTACGGAGGCGGGGGTCAGGAAGCTGACTTTTGGGGATTTATCTATTTGTATATTTGACTTCAAGTGCCCTTAAGCTGATAAAGGAGAAAAATATTTTTATAATTTCTCAATTATGTGCGTGGTTATATAAAAAAAAAAAGCAGGTTCTTTTCTGCCCTTGTGTCTGGAACAGGTCCTGGCAGGTACTCAGTAAACCTTTGCTGGGCAAACCTTTACTGTCCCCTCCCCCACAAGCTGGTGCTTCTGCTCCTCCCCCAGGTGACCAGGTTGTCTCCCTCACCCCTATGCTGGTGCGGAAAAGGCCGGTGCGTCCTCACGTTTCCTCTTCCTTCCTTCAGGTGGACTTGATGAACAGCCGTTCGAAAGCTGGTCGAATGCTACAGCCACGAATGCTAGCGGCCAGGAAGCTGGAAAGGGTAATGTGAGGCTCCACCAAGGCCTTTGGGGGCTTTTTAAAAAAAATTGTGGTAAATTTTACATAACATACAATCGACCACTTTAATGTGTACAATCGAGGGGCATTACGTGCATTCATAAGGTCGTGCAGCCGTCACCATTGTCTAGATCCAGATTGCTTTCGACACCCGCCCAGGGGACTCCCTACCCACTAAGGAGTCACTTCTCATTCCCCCACCCCTGCCACCCTGGCTTTGGGAACCTCTTCTACTTTCTATCTTAGTGGACTAAGGAGGACCGAAGTCTGGGCATGAGGGAGGGTGCCCTTTTGTTGAGTGGGGTGGGCTGGCTGCCAGAGAAGGAGATAGAAGGGTGGTATTTGGTTGCTCAGAGACTGTATGGTCTTCTGTGAAACTCTGCAATCTGTACTTGACCTTTCTCTCTAGAACTTGGCTTGTGAGTTGAAACCCCTGAGGGATGAGAGGAGGGATGAGGAAGCTTGGGGAACTAGGGTCCGACAGAACAAGTAGCCATGGGGGGCAAGGAAGGAAAATAAAGCTGTGCTGCTGGCCGGGGAGGGGGTGCAGGCTGGAGAAGCCTTGGGCTGTTGGAGGAGGGGCAGGTGAGGTTGTCATTCCTGGTGAGCAAGGCCACCTATCAGCAGGTGCTCTCCTGGAAATACCACCACCTCCGGGCTGGGCGACGATGCTAAGATGCTGGAGTGCTCTCCCTGTTCTGAGATTCTAGCCCGGAGCTTATGGAAAGGTGTCTCACTTTCGGAAAAGCTTTCCTGGCTCAGAAGCTGTGCTGGAGGAGAGAGGCTGCTGGCCTTCAGTCCGGCCTGCATTCTGCATTCTGCTGGATTGTATTACAAATACAATCTTCCACATACAAAACGGATGATTTTGAAATGCCACAATCCTGTGTTTCAGGGATGACTCTGTAGGGGTGAAACAGAAATCATTATTCACCTTATTCCGTGTTTTTGCTTTAATGTTATTCTGTATTTCATACATACACATGTGTAAATGTGGTGATATAATCACATACTTTATTGTCTTTCTTTCCTCTCCCTTTAATTTGGCTACCTCCTTCACTTTTTTCTGCTATTACCCCTCTACCCTTTTCCCATTCGTATGACCTTGTATGCGCGCTTTTGTATTTTTCTCCATGCAGATATGCATTTATGTAGAGATGTACACATACATACATATAAACATATATACATATAGCTATAAGGTCTGTAATTAAAGAAAAATAGGATCCTATTTGAAGCATGGTTTTTACATATTATGTGTTTCTCACTCATCAATACCTTAGGTAAATCCCTCTAAGACACTTGTTATACCTTCAGTTTATTCTTTTGAATAGTTGCAGAATATTCCTGGTATGAGTGGACTGTAATTTATTCAACCATTTCTTTATCAATTAATATTCACTTCACTTCAGTGTTTTGCCATCATGAACAATGTTGCTGGAATGCATTTCAAAAGGTATAATCATTCATGTTTCCATAGCAACTTAAAGCCGTGCCCCTCTACCCATATCCTGCCTAACGCTAGGTAGTATCAGTACTTTCAATGATGTAAACGGTAGCTAATTGTTACTCATTTTGTATTTCTGTGACTGCTGGAGACTTGGAGCCTCTTTTCCTACCTTGGCTGGTGACTTGGGTGTGCATTTCTGTGACTCACCTTTTCCTGGTTTTTGCCCATTTTTTTGGCTGGGTTTCTGACCCCTCTGTTATCAGTTTGACTTCTTTTAGAGATGGGCCAATTCTTTCGTCCCCACGCCCCTCCCCCCACCATTTGACAAACAGGCGTTTGTTTCTCGGTGACACGGTTTGTTTCCGGGGCCGGGTGCAAGGCCCCCTTTACAACCTGCGTTTATCCGCCTTGCTTACTCAAAGGCACTTTGACTCGCGCCTTTTCGGCCTCCCCAGACAACTGGCAAACTCAGTGGCACTTCATTTTGGCCACAGAGGACAAATGTGTCATGGCGAAAATGGGGCAAAGGTGTGGGAACGAAACCAGAGGGGCTTGTCGGCATACTGCAGTGACGTGGGTGCCAAACCTATTTTTCCTTCCCTATTTAAGTGATTTGCTGTTGCACAAAAATTGCCCCCAAACTCAGCGCCTTCAAACAGTGATTTGCTGTCTTTCAAGGTCCTGCGGGTTGCCCGGGCTCAGTGGTGTGGCTCTTCGGCTGATGCTGGCTGAGGTCCCTCACTTGACTGCCTTCAGCTGGAAGCTGGGCTGAGCTGGGAGGCCCAAAAGAGCTTTAGTCGCCTCCCTGGTGCTTCCGTGTCCTCCACACGTGGTTCCTCTCTCCATGTGGGCTTTCACCACTTAGTTGTGGTGAAAAACCTGAGACTGTTTTTATAACATGGATGCTGGCTTCCCAGAGGGAGGAAGCAGGAGCCATCAGTGGACTTCCAGCCGAGACTCAGAATTCCCCGAATGCTACTTCTGTCACATCCTACTGGTCACAACAAGCCAAAGTGCAGCCCAGGTTCAAGGAGAAGAAAACAGATTCCACCCCTCATGCAAGAAGTGGCAGGAGCTCGGAGGGATGACAGGACTTGCTGGTGGCCATATTTGAAGACCATCTGTCACCTTCCTTCATTGCCTCTCACCTGCTCACCGGCAATAGACATAGTCAGGGTTTTTGATTTTTACTAGTTTAGTGGGTGTAAAATGACCCAATAAACTTGGATAGTCAGACACACTTCAGTTTGCATCCCAGCTCAGCCATTTAGTAGCTGTGACCTTGGCTGTGTAACCTAACTCCTCATAGGAGCTTTGGAGAGGATTAGAAATAATGTTTATGCAAAGGGCATAGCCGAGTGTCCATTATATAAACTATACTTCATGAATGTAGCACCTCCACTTCTCTTCGTCCACCTCCAAGAATTGTGTTTTCCAGCACTGGAAGTGTGTTGTCCACCTCTGGACTGGGATCCCACAGCTGTTCCACAGCTGCACAGAAACATAATTAAGAGGAACAGGAAGGAACAAGGCTGCTGCAGCCCATTAAAATTCTGCCTTTGGTGGGGTTGCACGCAGTACCCACCCTGCAAGTTCTGGGTTTTTAGAGGATGACGCCAGCACTCCCTCATCCAGCATGTCCCACAGCCCGACAAGCTGGCCAAGTCCATAGTCTGCAGTCCCTCAAATGACCCTGGTTTGTTTGAAGAGGACAGTGTCAAGGTTGGGCCAGTCCTCCACTCTGTATTACAGGCACAGATGAGCAGGTCTTTACGCATCCAGGGCAATCCTGAGGGAGAAGGAGACCCCGAAGGGGAGGTGAGGGCAGGCCGTTCTAGCATGTCCCCTCAGCCTTCTCACCCGCTCCTCCCTCCAGGACACCGTCTGGCCCCAGCTTGGGTGCTTCTATTTGAATTCAAGATAAGAGGAGTCGTGTGAGTCTCAGATTCCCCTTTAATCACACTCCACCCCATTGTGCCACCCCCAGCAAAAGAGACCGCCCAAGCAGGAGAAAGGATCCGAGGGAAGCCCTGGCCTGCTGTCTCTGTGGCCAGTTTATTTGCTGGCATTATGTGGCTCCCATCAGCCCTGACGGTGGGATTTGAGCTCCCAGCTCTGGGGCGGGCTGAGGGGCTCAGAGAACCGTGCACTCCAGTCCCCTGGGCAGACCGCTGGGCCTCAGGAGCCTCCCTCCTCTGGAGATGGGAGCTCCGCCCGCATTTCAGGCTGATAATGGGATTAAGGAAATGGAGAGTGGAATTCCTCTGAGAATGAAGCCGTGACTGTTTTGCTAGAGCTGGATTTCCAGAACAGTGTTCATGGTGGAGAGTGGACCTTTCGTTTTCAGTGACAGTCCCTAAGGGCTTTGTGCTGAAGCAAATGATAGTGGAATCTGGTTACACCAGAAAATAGGGAATCCCACAGGCTTGGGCGCAAAGCACCACACAGAACCAAACCCTCGAAGGTCACTTTGTCACTGTATCTGGGTGTAACTGCCGAGTCTAACTTTAGGCATTCTCTCTAGCTTGTCCCCAAATGCAGAGCTTGACAGTCCTGCAGCTCGCCCTGAGCCCTCACCATGGCTGGTGTTTGACATTCATTACCTGGTTCATTGCCACAGCCACGCTGTGCCGCAGGAAGGAAGGCTCAGGCAAGGGTGGCTCATCCCAGGCCACAGAGGAAGCGAAAGGCTGTGTTTACCCTGACTCTAAGTCCCCGTGACCCCAAGCCCCTTGCTCTTAACCTCTAGACACTGTCAGTGGTCCTCAAACTAACCTGCGCTTTCAAATCAGCTGGGGAGTTTTAAAAACTGCAGCGGCCTGGACTCCACTCTAAGCCCACTGAGTCACAATCTCAGGGCAGGGAGGGGGTGCAGACAACAGAACTTTTTTCAAGCCCTCAAGTGATTCGAATGGGCATCTGGGTTTGAGAACCACTTTCGCAGAACAATCCACAGTCTCCCCTTTCAGTGCAGGGCTGCCCGTTAATCTATCAGGACTGCCACAGCCCGGGCCAGGTGCGAATGTGCCCGTCCTCTGTGGGATGAGGGCTGTGCAGGCGGCTGGACCATCAGGGTGTTTACTTCCAGTGTGGGAGGGATCCGCTGACTTATTGAGAAGTTGCAGTTCCTTGCTCGAAAAGGACCGGTTCTGTTCATGACACGGCTGCGCCTTCAGCTGGAAATGCAACGTTGAAGAGTTACGACCGCCCTGCTCTTTCAGAGGGGACAGGGTCCACTCCCAGGGTCAGAGAATTTCAATGGACTTTATCCCCCAGCCAACCCACCCCCAGCGTGTTAAATCCTTTCAGCAGCCCCTGAGCTCCTTTTCAAATGCAGGACTCTCGGCCATAATAAATAATTACATCCTTCTATTTGGACTCGGATTCCAGATAGTAGTAATCCAAGAAAATCCAATAATGACAGTTGCATTAAGATCCTTCTTCCAGGCTAAGCGGAACATCTGTTTAGACATATTTTTAATCGGCAAATGCTTCCTGTGTTGAGTCCTTGGCAAATTAAATTTCTCACTGGA